TACATATCTTGGAGCATATTTAAGTTTCAAATCCAAGTAAACATGCACTAATAGTCTATGTATGGATGGTGGCAAAGTTTCCCTTTGTACATAACAGCAGATTTTGTTTTGTTTGTCGAGTCTGTTCCAGTGTGGGGCTGCACATGATCACTTGACAAGATCCTTTCATGGATAATCAAACAAAGCGGAGTTGGGAAACTCTAATTTAAACAATACCAGCAGTAGCTCTTCATCTTTGACTGATGATTCATGTCCCTGTTTGTCCTTAAGAATTCTGTTGAAACTATCAGATATCACGTGACCAGTTTTATGTATAAAAAACGGATGAAAATGGGTCATGTTCAAGGTATAGTAAAAACTTTCTAGAGAGCAAAGTTTGCTGACCTTCTCTGACTTCAAATAGACCTGGAAAGCCAAGGTCATGCATTCAGGTTGGAAACGAAATACAAACGTAGCCAAAACAAATCAAACAAAAATATATTTTTTTCCTGCATTAGTGGACAAGTACTTTTACTCAACTATTTATGCATGGTGTCTAAAGAAAAACAACTTAACATTAATTAAATGCAAGGTAATTTAACAAATTCATTTTCACAAAGCAAACCACATAGGGTGTTGACTATGAACTTATAAATTACATTTATAAATAAATTATAAAACTATAAATTAAATTAACAATTTGGGCATGCTACTTCCAGAGTCTCAACTTTGCTATAATTGAGAATTCAAAATGTCCCACAGGTAAATATGGCTTTGCTTGGTCATTCATGTGCACATACCTCATAATTAGGATATTCAATCCACTTAAAGGCTGCAAATGACTTTTGTAGTATCATAAACAATGCTGTGCTATGTTGTTTTGACTAGTTTAAAGTTCTAGGTAGTTTTTTAGTTTACATTTAAAGTTCTCATTTGAATCCAAACCTGTATGACTTTCTTTCTTCTGTAAAAAATTTAGATATTTTGAGAAATGTCAAAAAGTGTTTGTTTTTTGTGCACACAACAGAAGTCAGTGGTAAACAAAACTACCAACATTCATCAAAATATCTTCTATGTTCCACAGAAAAAAAGAAAGTCATACAGGGTTGGAACAACATGAGAAAATAATGACAGAATTTACATTTTTGAGTGAACTACCCTTTTAATTTCCAAAGTATTCTCATAATTGTGATAAAAAGTGTAAAAAAAAAAAATCCAGCTTGAAATGTTTGCGTTACCCAGTTGTCCTCTCACTGTTAGGCAGATGAGAACAAACAACAACAACAAAATACTGCAAAGCTGCGACTCTGGACCTCATCTATTGGAAGTTATGAACTTTAAGTAACTTCTCACTCTGTCACTTTGGTTTCTGTATGAAATATGACAGTGATGTCAAGAGCAGCGAGCCAAAGTCTGACTCAGCGCCTGGGTCCCCATGAAAAAGTAAGAACAGATGAACTGATGCGAGGTAGAATCTCGCTACTTAGCGTGTGGCCCCAGGGCTTGTTGACAATTTGGTGGCCCTTTATGAATCTTCTATGGATTTATTGGTCTGAATGTGTCTGAAATTTTGAAATTACTCCCAGAGTGATTCTGGTATCACTCAGACTACAGCTGGATCAGTGTGCGGTCGTCATGACTCCCACAAACATGTGGTGAAGGTTTTATGACGTTCAAGCTTTCATCCGACCTACACAGACTATACAAGTTAGTGTATTAGTGATATTAGTCTTATTTATAATATAGCCTACCTGAAAAAGTTATTCATGTGGTTGATAACACCTGACTGATTTATAATTGGTCCTAGCTAAACGGATGCATAGCAACACTGACTTCATGGGTTTGATTCCACACTGCCTTTTAAAATATATATTGAATGAAGTTGCTTTGGTTAAAAGTATCTGCCAAATGCAAAAATGTGCATTCTTAGCTCATCTGATATCACACTCCCAAGGCCTTGCTTCGTCAATGAGGCAAAGGGTGGACTGCGAAAAGTCAAATGGAAACTATTTTCTCTAAGTTTGTGGTAAATGTAATTTGTTATGAAAAAGCACATGAAAATGTGTGGCTGTTTGATGTCAGGGTCCTCTGAGGAACTTTGGCACGTCAGGAAGTAACCCATCTTGTGAAAATCAACAGTTCAATATCGATTCATTACACTAGGGAAACCGTACATAAAGCAGGACAGCCTGCGTAATACATGCGCAAATCTGCACGATTCAAAATGCTGGCATATGTGCTATTTGGCCAGACTCCAGTGTTTAGGTGGCTCAAAAAGGTGAATACAAAGAAAGCATCTTTTGTGTTTTTTTTGCATCCACCGATTTATAGAAGTGTTAAAGGAAAAGTTCACACAAAAATGAACATTCTGTCATTCTGGAACACGCTGACTTTTGGGGACTTTATCTTATTCACCGTATCCCCCAGAGTTAGATAAGTCCATACATAGCCTTCTCATCTCCGTGCGTGCCGTAACTTTGTCTGACGCACCCACCACTAGCCTAGCTTAGCACAAATACTGGAGGTAAACGGCTCCATCTAGCCTACTGCTCCCAATAAGTGACTAAATAACGCCAACATTTTCCTATTTACATGTTGTGATTTGTATAGTCACAGTGTGTACAAATAACAAGGTCACATGAGACACAGCCATCTTTTAACCGTATACATACTGGGAAGTGGGAACTATATTCTCAGAAGGCGAAGCACTGCTACTTCTGCGGAGTGATTTGCTCGCAGCAGCCATGATCACCAGTCACGTTGGCTACTAGCTAGCTAGTCACGTTGGTTTTGTTGACATAAGTAACGACGGTGCTTTTCAGGTGTTGCGCTAATCACTCCGCCCTAGTAGTAGTGCTTTGCCTTCTGATAATATAGTTCCCAGTACGTATACGGTTAGATGGTTGTGTCTCATATGACCTTGTTATTTGTACACACTGTGACTATACAAATCACAACATGTAAATAGGAAAATATTGGCGTTATTTTGTCACTTATTGGGAGCAGTAGGCTAGCTGGAGCCATTTACTTCCAGTATTTGTGCTACGCTAGGCTAGCGGTGGGTGCGACAGACAGAGTTACAGCACGCACGGAGATGAGAAGGCTATGTATGGACTTATCTAACTCTGGGGGATACGGTGAATAAGATAAAGTCCCAAAAAGTCGGCGTGTTCCTTTAAGGCCCATTCACACCAAGGATGATCTACAGTATAACAATAACTGTTTTAATAAATCTACAAGAATAGGAAAGTCTATACCACAACTAATGCTAACGAGAAGAGAACTATACTGTAAAGTTTGATTCCAAATTCCAGATTCCAAGTTCCAGTATAGTTCTTTTGTTGCTTTCAGAGCGTTTTTCTTTCCCAGCTGATGAACGAAATATTGACTGATCAGAATCGGTGGACGAAATAACTGCATGTTTAAGGCCCGTTCACCAACGCATGATAATATTTTTTTTACTATAAGTGTGCAATCAAGCTCTTTAAATTCGGGTGGATTTTGATTGGCTGTCAATAATTTTATCTTCCATTAACTGGGGAAGAAAAATGTTCTGCAAGTGATTCCAATGTTATTCCTTTTCTTTGTGTCGTTATCATTAAGATGTTAAAAAAATGTTAAAAGAAATCTATTATGGATGCATTCGAAAGCTTAAAAATGCTGCCTTCGGAGGACGCATTCCAAAGTAAGAAGGCATCAAGGCACGTCCGAATCTAATGGTAGCTTTAGGCTACTTCCTGTCTCCTGAGATACCGTCATCTGATCGATTTTTGAAGGCAGCATAGATGGGTCTTTCTCTGCCTTTGATTTCACACAAAAAATAAGCTAAAAAATAAAGATGGCATCTGAAATTTGTGATTGGTGGTCATTTTGTGTGTAAATATGCGTTTTTGATCAACCTTTTCCACTTTTGATTTCATACAGCGAGAAATCACTTGTAGTAATTAAATATTTGCTTAGTTATATCACCAAAGCTCTCTCTATTTTGTTGAATAGATCATTAAACCGTTATGCCTCCTCAGAAGTCTGTACCTTCATGCGCAAACACTGCTTGAGAAGTCAAGCAGTGAATATTTGCTTTCAGTGAATATTTGCAGTGAATATTTCAGCAGTGAAAGCTACAGTGAATATTTAATGACTATGATTTCTTGCTAGAAATGGTATAGTGGAATTCCATAAGTGGAAAACATTGATCAAAAATGTACATTTACACACAAACTGATGACCAGCCACAACTTTCAGACACCATCTTTATTTTTGCTCAACTGTCACAGAATGGAAAGCACAGGATTGTGGGATATCAAAGGCAGAGAAGGATACATCTATGCTGCCTTCAAAAATCGATCAGATGACGGCATCTCAGGAGACAGGAAGTGAAGCTAACTTTGGATTCGGACGTGTCTTGATGCCTTCCGACCTTGGAATGCGTCTCCCGAAGACGGCATTTATCAGTTTCCGGACGCAGCCATTGCCTGATGGGGCAGCGAGGCAACAAGTCATAATTCGTACGCAGCCAATAGCATCCACAGCAATCCACAATAATGTTCTGTTTATTATAAGTTTGCTATATACTCAGGCTCTTTAAAGTTGTGTGGATTCTGATTGGCTGTCAATGCTTTGTTCATCAGCTGGAAGAAAAAATATAGTTTTTTATATTTAAAATTATTTTTAGAATATTGTTATAGTTATCGTCCTTGGTGTAAACGGGCCTCTAGCTGTGCTGTGCACTTCTCTATTCTCATAGATTTTGGTCGATTATTAAAACTTTATAGACATTGCTATAATTAACACCCTTTGTGTGAACAGGCTTTTATAATAAACAAAACATTTTTTGTCCGTTGAATGCTAATATAATTATCATTATAGTTATTGGTGTGAACAAGCATTTAACCAATCCTGTATGGCTTTCATTGAGGTCACACTGTGAGGTACTTAGACTGACACAATCGTAATTACCTTTAGTTTATTTTTAAGGCGGAACACAACTGTCATACATGATCTCTTTGTAATGTCTCTTTCAGATGAAGTAAATCTTGCCACAGGTTGCCTGCAGTGGCAGGTTTAAGTCCACAGGCTCCATGACGAATACACCCTTGCTCCATGTTGGCAGTCAAGTCTCATACACCACTCGAGGTATCATCTTACCTCCCTGCAGAGAGGAGAGAGTCTGGCCAGCCTGTCAGGATCTGGAATCTCATCCCTGTCAATACACACAGCAGATACAGGCTAAAAAACAATGACTGTTTTCCTACCCTCAGTGCTGTTTTTCCAGCACTTCCTTTTTCTAATTTCATCACACAGAGTTATATTGTCTGGTCTTAGCGTGTGTGTGTGTGTGTGTGTGTGTGTGTGTACAGGTTTATATTGCATTGTGGGGAGTAAAACCTGAAATCACCCACAAAGACAGCGAAACAGAGTGTGTGTGTGCGTGCATTCAATGTTAAGTTGTATGGTTTTGAAAGAGTTGATCACATCGAGTTTTCAAATGTCTTTTCAGACCGCATTCACTATAACAAGTCAAAACAGATTTAATTAAAGGCCATGGATCATATTTGTAATAACTTGTTTTGATTCATGCCTTTTGTTTTACCTTCTTGAGATGGTTCACTCCAGAAATGAGTGAACTATGGTTTTCCAAATCTACATGAACTTGCTTGTGGAACACAAAATGATATTCTGGCCACTCTTTACAATATTATAAAAAAGAAAAAAAGCACATTAAGTCTCATAAACGTGGTCTATGCCGTACATGAGCTATATTTGTGTTGCTGTACAATCTGGACTGAATGATTTATAAATCAGACTGATCCAGTTCTGACTGACAAGAAATTAAGTAATAATGTTTTCGAACAATATGTGTGAAGGTGAGCGTATACATTTTTTTGGGGGGGGGGGGAGGAGGAAATCAATTATGAATGAACTATCACTTTTAAACATGAGAACTAAACTTCTTTAAAAAAAATTGTAAAGATATAGGTAATTTTCTTACTATTTTTTAAAAACATTCACATATAACTGCAGTACCCATGCTTATAACACAGTACTCCGAAGTGTGTAGGTATAGGTTCCAGTGTACAGATACTCCAGGTATGTTGTATAACCCATACTGGAGCTCCTGCACATGCCCCTAGACGAATCTGCACTGAATAAACTCTTCATAATCCTGTTCACATCAACGTTGAGGAAAACGATTGCTTCAAGAGGGCTACCTGAAATCCAAACAGCCATTGAACCAAACAGGATGGCAGTTGAAGTAAAAACTGCACTTATTGCTTTCCAATGACATGCATGATTGAAAAATGAGCACAACAGTGTCAGTAATGTGATGCACTGGCAGAGAAATGTGGCTTTTTTTTTTGCTTTTTTTTTTTTTTTGTATTGGTTGCTTTTGTAGCACACCAGTGAGATAAGTTTGAACTTTGAGATGTCACTAGGTGAACATTGAAGTGAACAACTAGAGAATTGAATTGAACATAAAGTGTATTTATTCTAAGCTAGGTCAGGTGTAATGTCAGGTTAACCAAGCAAAATGAGTTCAGAGGTCAAAGTTTATATTAGGGTTAGTAAGGTCAGAGAGTATCTGAAGACACACAAGATGGCTGGTTAAACTATCACTAATGCTAATTTGAGGTTTGAATTCCCTTGTTCAAACTAATTTCAATATGTACAAGAATGATGGTTACGCCACAGAAGAACGTTTGAGATTGAGTTGTGAGAGTTCATAAATAACAGCTCACCCACACACACTTTTCAGTTTTCACAGCTTCGTATCGCCATCTGGTGGTTGCATGAAATGTAGTGTTTTGGTAGCCGAGCAGAAGATATTCAAAATTAACTATCCTAGATCAGTTTGTATTAGTTTTAGACATATTGTATACCGTCCAGCAAATATCTTACCTTTGGCAACAAGAAAAAAAGCCAGATGAAAAATGATCTCAAAAGATTGACTAATATTTCTGTTGTGAATGTCAATCTTGCCAATCAGGACAAGGAACCAAACTGTATAATGAGTGAAAAGTGAATTTCTTTTTTCTTTTCTTTTCTTTTTTTTTTTTAACAGACTAATCAATCATATATTAGGCTATTCTCTCTGATGTATACAAAGTGTTCAGTTAACTTTATACTTGCTTTTCTTGGCTTTTTATGGTTTTGTCTGTAAATTCATGCTAAAAAGTTATAATGCAGCTAATCTATTATATTTTTGATATATCTCACAGCGTTAGCAGGAGCCAGCATCAGCCTGATCCCAGGTTTTGTCATTAGAGGTGAAATGAGAGCCATCGTCTCAAAACCTCAGTGATCTCAACAATCGGATGAAGAGGAGAACAGATGTTAACTATGTCAAACACATTCCCCTCTTTACTATTGACTTAAGATGTTACATCACAGGTGGAGGTCTGCCTAAGCATGCTAATGCAAAAGATCAGAGATTAGATGTCCATTTATGGAGCAAAATGTTACAAGCCTGAATAGTTTATATATCAAATGTCACCTCCATTATAGATAATATCATCATTATATCATCACTTGCAAATATAATATGTGGCTTTAACATCTGTGAAATAGAAAAACAAGTGGATCCAACTATCTGTATTCATGCTTGCTTAGACAGACTTGAGGACCCAGATTTCAGAACTCAACCTTGATTGCTGATTTAAATTTTATAACATTATTAAAGCTAATAGACAGCATTAGCGCTACAAACACCAAGGTCATGTGTTCAATTCCCAGGGAATGCATGTACAGAAAAAAAATGTAGATTGCTTAAAATAAAAGCTTCTGCCAAATGCGTCAACAATGCGCTTTTTAAATTTGCTATTGATCAAATAATTCAGAAAAAATGAACCATGGTTACTACAAAAAATAGTATGCAGCACGACTGTTTTCAACACTGATAATAAAAAATAAATGTTTCCATGTGCTTCAAATAAGATTATTAGAATGATTTCTGAAAGATCATGTGACACTGAAGACTGGAGCAATGATGCTGAAAATTCAGCTTTGCCATCACAGTAATAAATTACACTTTAAAATATATTAAATTGATATTTTAAATTGTAATAAAATTTCACAATATTTCTGTTTGTACTGTATTTTTGGTCAAATAAATGCAGCCTTGGTGAGCATAAGAGACTTCTTTTAAAACCTTTTTTTTTTTCAATCTCACTGCCCCAATTCATTGAACGGAAGCGTACATTTGATTGTAATTTCAAGTCAATTAAATGTAATTTTTCCAATATTTTGTTTAAAACAAGTGCTGTGAAGAATGTTCCCCAGTGTCTGCCATTTTCATTCCAATGAAAACTAAGGAAGTCATGTCTGTTTATCTTTAGTTTTTTTTAAAAACTGTTAGACTATTTTTACACATATTGAAGAAGCTATTGCAGTCTAATATTGACTCTTGAAAGAGTAACTATTATAATTATTTTTATTGAAAGGCACAACCCAAATAATGGTGGAGATGTTAGTGAATTTTTGTGGCTGTCTGAATATGAGTCCTATGTCGGCTATTTTATTCAGTTTCCCGCATCAGTTCAGCAGCTTTTTTATTTGAACTGTGGTAAGATTTGTCTTCCATGATTTGTTTGTTGCCACATTTCCATGTGGGAAGATTTGTCTTCACATTCTCAAGAAATGGCATTGATTTCTTGTGCTTAACTTCAGATATTATTTTAGAAAATAAATGAAAGCAGATTGATAAAAAATGATGGCTGTCTTTTGGCGGCATGCTGCTTCTGTACATTCAAATACATTTCAGTTCAGCTCATAAATCTTCCTGCATTCATATTATGAGTCTACACCAGTCCTTCAGAGATGTAGTTTAATGGCAATATGCACAGTATTCCATCCATTGTAAGTTGGCTGAACTTCTATCTTAACTATATATTATTTATTATGACCGTTACAGTAAGAGAATAACCTTTGGTGAAATGTGATTCATGAGTGAAATTTACCAGTAACTGTGTGTCCCTTTATTCCAGTTTGTGGTTTTAATGAACTAATGATCACATCAGCACTGTTTGCCATGATCAGTACCTTTGTTGACACATTTGAACTTAAAGTCATCATGAGAAGCAAAATGTGATTATACCTTTAAAAACATCAATCCTAACGAGATTCTTACTGAAGATTAAAGTGGCATTGATATTTATTAAGGACCTTTATTTTTTGAAGTTTTTATCATTTCTGAAAACATTTCTGTTCAGCATCACTTTGAAAAACTACAGTGAAACCCATTTAATATTATTTTTGATGATCTTAAAGACCTTTGTATCTAAAGGCATATGCTTCTTTTTATTTATTAGAATATTAAACAGTGGATCTCAACCAGGAGGCAAATTTCCAAGGGGGCTGCAGGATGACTTCAAAGTATTTACATCTAGAATTGATTAGGCTAATCTGTTAACATAATCAAACTTTAATTTAAATTAAAACATAAAATTAAGATGTAAACGGCAACTCAAGTTTCTTTCACTTGTATAAAAGCCTACTGTTCTTATCAACAGACTACAGTTCTTGAAATTTCTAGAATCACAAAATGAATCATGGTTAATGTAATATATCAGTGCTTCCAGTTTCTATGAATAAAAAAAGTCTGAAACAAGCAGCTTTGTCATAATTAAAACAGCCAATACAGGAAATATCTTATCTTCTGCCTAAAGGGGGGCCTTCGAATTTTATGTTGGACATTGATTCAAAATGGGTGTGTTGGACTAGATTGTAAAGGGCATGTATGGAAATTCCTTCAGGACTGTTGAAATCCAGATGCACCTCGTGAAGGTGTATGTGCAAATAGTTTTTACTTTTTAAAAACGTTTTGGTAACGTTATAAATCTAATACTTTTAATTGTATTGTTTCATAGTTTCTGTTGACTTGTTACTAAGCCGCGCAGTTCCATTATGCCCCACCTGATGTCGCTAAACCCTCAATCCTCTGGTGCTTCACCCATCCCAGCATTTCAAGTTTGTATTTATTTGAATGGTTCTTCCTTCCCTCTGAAATCCACTCAAATTCCCGTTTCCTTCTGGTTGTGCATGGACATGCTCTCGGATATATAACGTGCTCTAGGATGCATAGACAACTTTACACATTGTTATGGTGGGTGCTTACGAAATACGATTGGCTGCCAACGTTGTACAAGTTAAATGTTTTGTACGTGCCAAGTCCTTGTTTGCTAGCAGGTGATTAGCCTGACTTGTTTGTTTAGCAACTAGCTATCTGGTGTGTTTTTATCAACTGATTTGATATGCACAGCCAGTGTGAGTGTAGACTAATCTCAAGACTTGTCTTTTGCAATTTAGTCACAAATTATTGACTGTTTGTCAAAGCGTAGTTGTTGACTTAATTAGCGCGCTAGTGCTAACAGACCTTAGACCTAAACAGCGACGTCATATCATCGGAGGCCTAAAGCTTCGTCTGACAGACGTTCAGACATTTACCAGGAATATTAGCTTGTTATTCTGAAACGTATTAGTTGGGTTTCAAACGATTCATATATTTGTCCTCTGACTCAGCATAACGTGCTAACGTTACCTGGTAAGACGTCCGTTTGAAAACTGACAAAGCTTATCTTTTTTTATGT